CCTCGGCCCCTGCCTCCCCCCCTCATCACTCCTAATTAATGTCGGGGACCGGAGCTGGTGGCTTTGGTGTGTGCAGTGACTGCAATAAGCAGTGACAGCCATCATCAAGGTAAAGCACGGGGTGCTTGTGGAACTGGAGGCAAACTCTGTCATAAACCCCAAAGCAGTGGGGTTTCTCATGGGTTGGCGGCGGGTGTTCATCTCAAATGTTTCACATCGGGCTTTACGGTCAGCTTCTCGCAATACATATAAAAATTTAGCAACTGTTTCCATTTCGCCTGGTGTTTAACTGGCTGTCGTTTCCCTTCTGTATCTTTCAGTGGTATTTCTTCTGTGCAATTTTTATACTGTAGAAGATATCAAGCAGGGTTTACCTAACCGGTATCCTAGCACAGCATGATATCGACGCGTACTTTGAAATGTCCTGTTTGCATTTGGATTGCAAAGTTCTTGTATAGATATATTTTGTCATTTTAATAAACACAATAAAATTTTATTTTGCAGTCACTGCATGTAACAGAACACAGTCCTCCTTTTTTTTGCAGCACCAGTGGGTACTTCTAGATGATCTACATTTATATTGTTATTTTCCTGCCAGAGGATCTCAAATCATTTTACAGACTTCACTTAATACTAATGTGTAGCCACATCATGAGTGGGACATGGCAGCACAGAAACTTTAGGTCATAGCAAGTTTAACTTGAACTCACGTAAGCTTTTTTTCATTGGGAATGTTTGGGGTTTTTTTGTTTGTTTGTTTGTTTTTTCAAAAAAAGTAATGCCCTACTGTCATGATAATGCATTTTAGTAATCACACATCCTAGACGTAAAGCTCTCAATTTTTAGAAATACTGGCATGCATCCTCCTCAAACATGCAGAGTCCTCTGCCAGCTTTATAAGCACCTAGCCCATGTAGTACCACATTTTTAGGAGCCCTCAGCCTTTGTCTAACTGCAGCTGATAATCTCGGCAACAGAGCACTCCTTTCTGCTAGTAAGAGCACACTGAAAGATTCAGCTTCTGTTTTGGTTAAAAGAAGGCATCGGGAAATCTGACATAAATGGATGTTATCTTGCCATTTTAATAATCTGACACAAACTGAAAATCCTGAGCTTGCTTAAGACAGCATGGCATTGCACAAGTGGCCGAAAGTAGAGTCAGCTTCCTTACGGGAGGGTAATGCAGCAGACATGAAGAAATTTTTGAAAATGCTGAGAAAATATTTGGAACAATGTAAGGCTGAAAATGTAGCTTTATAACATATATCAGTGCCTGCAGCTAATAAAAGTGAGCAGGTTATTTTATAACACCTGAACAATATTTTTAGTCGTAAAATCTCATCTCAAAAGGATCTTTAAATTCAAAGTGAAATTGCTTCACAGGCTGACCTAGCCACTAGTATTTAATTAGCTTCTGGATGATTATTCTTTTTTAATGTTTGTGTTCATGATTAAAGTCATGCTGTTTGTATGCTCTGATTCTGCAGAAAATAGCTGTCAGCTGGTGAACAAAGGGCAGATAATATTTGTTGAGTGTGGAAATTTTTTCACTCTTCTCAGAAACTGCTCCGAGTCATAGCAGCTTCATCTTCACAGTTCTGAAAAAATCCAAAATTGTGTCTTCCTGCTAGGATGTGGTTTTACATCTTCAACGTCATTTTTTTTCTGTACAGCATAATCAATGTCTTACTGGACATGTCAGAGCAGATTGGACCTGTGTGGTGCCCACAGCGCACAGCACCACTTCAAAAGAGGAGAGTTTTTTGTCTCGGTTTCTCTCTTCTCCAAACCCATGAGGAGATTCGGCTCTGGAGGCCCTCAACAACATAAATCACAGGCGTTGTC